TGAGCATTAAGGTCCCTTCCAACCCAAACTACTTTGTATTCTTCGAAATTATTTAAGGTTTTGCAAAAATACAGCAAAATTAGGACCAAAGGATAGTAGATATTGGTCCTTGATGTGGGAGGTGGGATTGCAGCCTGTGGTTGAGGGTGTGTGTGTTGCCCGTGGTGAGCTGGGTCTTGCTGCTCTCCCCCTGCAGCGCTGAGCAGCCATGGAGAGGATGCAGCAGGTCGTTGGGCGGGCGAGAGCCGCCTTCAACTCGGGCCGGTGCCGCTCGCTGGAGTTCAGGCTGCAGCAGCTGAAGGCGCTGGAGCGGATGGTGCAGGAGAAGGAGAAGGAGATCCTGGCAGCCATCAACGCGGATCTGCACAAGGTCTGGGTCCAGGGGCCTTTTTCCTCCTGCTGTGCATGGGTGGTGGTGAGCCCTGAGGGAAGGCAGGAAGGCCCCAGGGCTGCTTTTGTCATGGCAAGTGGTTTCTGCTGATGTCCCCCGTGGTCCTGGATGACTTTTCTCTACCTCCCTGGGCGGGTGTGGTGGGTGCAGGAGGTGGGTGCCTTGGCCATCCCCTCCCCAAGCTCCTTGTTGTTGCAGAGCGGGCCCAACGCGTTCAGCCACGAGCTGATGGGCGTGCTGGGGGAGCTGGCGCTGGCCGTGGAGAAGCTGCCGTCGTGGGCAGCCCCTCAGCCCGTGAAGAGGAACCTGCTGACAATGCGGGACGAGGCGTACGTGTGCCCCGAGCCGCTGGGGGTGGTGCTGATCATCGGGGCCTGGAACTACCCCTTTGTGCTGATCATGCAGCCTTTGATCGGGGCCATCGCAGCAGGTGGGGACCCGCCACAGCCCCTGTCCCTCGTGGGGCATGGGTGGGTGCCTGGGGAGGCGGGAGAGGAGCGCGGGGGCTCGGTGGCCATGGTGGGTTTGTGTTGTAGGCAATGCCGTGGTGGTGAAGCCGTCGGAGATCAGCGAGAACACGGCTCGGCTGGTGGCGGATCTCCTGCCCCAGTACATTGACGGGGTGAGTGCGGCCCCACGTCACTCCTCAGGTTTCTCTGCGCCACAGGGATGTGCCGGGTTGGGGTGACCCTGCCACACTCGCCCCGCAGGAGCTGTACCCCGTGGTCACTGGAGGAGTACCTGAGACGACAGAGCTGCTGACCCAGAGATTCGATCACATCCTCTACACCGGCAACTCCGCCGTGGGCAAAATTGTGATGGCAGCGGCCGCCAAGCACCTGACGCCCGTCACCTTGGAGCTGGGTGGGAAGAGCCCCTGCTACATCGACAAGGACTGCGACCTGGCCGTCGCCTGCAGGTCAGGATGTTGCAGACGCTCTGTGGGCCGTTGTCCCCTGACTGTGGAGAAACCATCTCCCTTTCTCCCGCAGGCGGATAGCGTGGGGGAAGTACATGAACTGCGGGCAAACCTGCATCGCCCCGGACTACATCCTCTGCGACCCGTCCATCCAGAGCAAGGTGGTGGAGAACATCAAGGCGACTCTGCAGGTGAGTGTGGAGTTCCTTATCCCTGTTACAATTGAGGTCTGAGTTTTTTGGTTGCGGCCCTGGAGTTGTTGTTATTTTGAAAGTGTGTTGAGCGCCTTGGTTCTGCTGTGCCCTTTGGCAGGAATTCTATGGGGAAGATGTGAAGTCATCTCCGGATTACGAAAGGATTGTCAACAAGCGTCACTTCAGGAGGATCCTGGGCTTGCTGGAAGGGCAGAAGATCGCTCATGGGGGAGAAGCTGATGAGGCCTCCTGCTTCATAGGTGCTCCTGGCGGCTGTTGGGGAGGGGGGGGCTTTCTGCTGGCAGTGGGTGTCTTGTGGGGGCTGTGTGTTTGTCTGTGGTTTGCTTGGTGTGTGTTGAACGCAGGCAGTGCCCGGGATGAGGTCCTGTGACTGACCACATCTTCTGTCCTGCTCACGCCGTCTCCTGCTGTCCTGTTTGCCTCAGCACCGACTATCCTCACCGATGTTTCTCCGGAGTCAAAGGTGATGGAGGAGGAAATCTTTGGGCCAGTCCTCCCCATTCTGACGGTGAAGAGCGTGGACGAAGCCATTGAGTTCATCAACCGTCGGGAGAAGCCCCTTGCCCTGTACGTCTTCTCCAACAACAAGAAGGTGGGTCTGGGCTGTGCTCCCCCGCGGAGGCATCTCT